CCCAGAATTCCCCAACCAGCATGGCTGGCTGGGGAATTCTGGGAGTTGAAGTCCACCCATCTTAAAGTTGCTGAGGTTGAGGAACCCAGCTCTACTCCCATCTTCAAGTTTCACTCTGGAGCCTTTAATACATCTCACTCTTTTTCCCCAGTTTCTCTCACTTGTACCTGGAGGTACAGACTGGAACACTTCTTTCTTGGATCCTTCTGCACGCTGCAGTTTTTCTATAAAAGGCTCAGCATGTTCTGTATAGTTCAGATATATGTTTTATTACCAGGTGGCATGTTAATGTCTGAAATTTCTATTGTACTTGAGCCATAATGGAAATAAGCACATGAAAAAAGAAACCTGTTCAAAAGAAACCTTTGAGTGGCCCATTTTGTTTTATATAATTAAAGTTAATACAAAGCAGAAAAGAGTAACTTTTTAAAATTAAATCTTTGGACGCTGATGTGGAGAAGAACGTGGGATCAGGATGACTCTGCTTATTGGAACAAAACTAGCCACGCCATCTCCAGGTTCTTGATCCCAGTTGCCCTCTCCTAGTCATTTTCACCCTCCCCATGCTTTCTTTCCATGCCCCCAGGCCCTAAGTCAAGTGCAGCAACTTCTTTTCTCTCTTTTTTCTTCAATATCTGACAGAGTCTGAAATAGTTGCAAAGTAAAGCAAGTCTTAGTTTTTCCAGACAATCCCTAAGGGCTCATTCACACAACCTGCTTGCTTCCAGTCCAAGACAGTCCACTTACAAGCTGTTGAGGACGCATCCTCGCCATAGAGACTCCGTCTGGTGCCAGCATACTCCTGAGGCAAGCTGAAGCCAGATCAAGGTGATCTGGTAGGAAAGTGTGTTTTCCATAAGAAAAAAAATCTGTGTAAACATTCTGTGTCACATGGAGGATTCCTCTTCAGAGAGTTGGCATTCTGCAGGGCTTCAATCAGCCTGCTGCAGGACTGCCCCTCCCATCCAGCCATGGGACTCTATGGCCATTTTTGACCAAATACAACTCTTCTTTAAGGTCAATATTTGTATCTGCCCACAAAATCAAAGGACCGGACTTCTCTTCTACTAAGATTTGGTGTGACTGGTGTTGGACTTTAGGAAAGCAGCTTGCCCACCTATGATTGGGTTGGAAGAGGG